GGATTTACACCCTCGGAAACCCTGTACAGGGTCGCTATGGGTCGGAACCGACTTGACGGCACTTAACAACAACAACAACAAATCCCCATTTTCAAGATGAAGAAACCAAGGTTCAAGAAGCAAAAATGAAAAACCTTGTCTAAAGGTCAAAAAACTAGTGAGAGGTAGAACCAGGGTTGGAGTTTCCTGATTTCCGAGTTCAGTTTTAGTTCTTGTTTTACCATGCAGTGTAACTGCAGATGTTCTGAGAATTCTCGGTGTAGAAGTCTGCAGAGCGATGCTATCAGAGCAGCAGTCTGAAACAACAGCAAGCACTGGTGGTTTCTTCTTCTCCTCATCTATTTACTAAATGCTACACCTTATTTTTCTCCTCTGCAAAACAGGAATCAGTTGTTGTCAAGTTGATTCCATTTCAAGGACACCTCATGTATGTCAGAGTAGACCTGCATTCCATAAGATTTCCAATGGCTGATTTTCAGAACTAGATTGCCAAGACTTTCTTCCCAGGAGCCTCTGGATGAACTCAAACCTCCACCCTTTTCATTAGCAACTATCATGTTAACCATTTTCAATACTTAGTTTTCATGGGTGCTATGTAGATTAAATGAGATAGCACATTAAGCACATAAACCAATCCCAAACCTACAGCTGTTGATTCTGACTCATAGTGATCTTAAACAAAGTAGAACTGCCTCATAGTTTTCCTGGTGTGGCACTGTAGGATAAGCACTGGATCACAAGGTCGGTTTAAACCACAAGGTCAGCAGTTCAAACTCACCAGCCGCTCCTCGGAAACCTTGTACAGGGTTGCTATGAGTTGGAACCGACTCGACGGCAGTTAACAACAGCAATCTTTACCGAAGCAGTCTGCTATCAACCAAAAGGTTGGCAGCTAAGTACTTACTCACTGCACTACCAAGGCTGTTGTTAAGCGTCATCGAGATGATTCCACCTCATATCAACCCTGTATAGAGTTTCTGAGGAGTGGCTAGTGGTAGTTGTGTGGCACTGAGTTGGTACCAATTCATAGCGACCCTGTATAGTGCTTCCAAAGCTGTAAATCTCTACGTGAGCAGAAAGCCTCATCTTTCTCCCACAGAACAGCTGGTAATTTCGAACTGCTGACCTTGTAATAAGCAGCCCAGACTATAGTCCACTATTCTACTATAGCTCCTTTGTAAAGCTTTGTAAAGCACCTTTGTAAAAGAGCAGCTGGTGAATTTGAACTGCTGAACTGTGGTTAAAGTCCAGTGCTGAACCTACAGCACCACACCAGGAATCCATTTGCATCTTATATGTTACAAATGAACAAAGCAAAAATATTTGATGCACACATATAAAACAAAGCAAAATATATGAACATTCATTTAAATATCCAAAGGCCAGCCACCTACCCGTAGGCAGTAGGCATACAGTCTTCCTCAGTCCATGGGCCTCGAGTCCGCAGCTGCTCTGTCTCTCCATGCCACCACCTGTTGCATGTTGTCTCTGCTGTCTCTGCTTTTCCAGGCAGGGATCCCACACTCCACTCATGCTCTTCCTTCTTGATGGTCCTGATTTGTGTGTGTGTGTGTGTGTGTGTGCAAAGCATATGTTGTTATTGTTATTAAGTGCCATCAAGTCGCTTGTGACTCATAGAGAGCCTGTATAGGATTTCCAAGGAGAGACTGGTGAATTTCAACCACCAAGCTTGAAGTTCAAGCTAACCTTCAGGTCCAGTGCTTATCCTACAGCTCCACACCAGGACTCCTGTGTAAAGCATATTGTTTGTTGTTGTTGTTAAGTGCCATCATGTCGATTCTAACTCATAGCACCCCTGTATAGGGTTTCCAAGGAATGGCTGGTGGATTTGAAATGCCAACCTTGCAGTTCAAACCAGCACACAATCAAATGCTTATACTACAGTGCCACACTAGTATTCTGTGCAAAGCATATAGCACAGTTTAAAATAAGTTTATTAAATGATAGCACCAGCAGTGGTAATAGTATTTGTAATGGTAAATTCCCTTCTGTGGTAGAAAATGTGTCTAAAGGCCACCCCTCACTTTTGGACTGAATAGATAAGCAAGAGCTTTGTGTATCATGAAAAGAAGATTAAATCTTCCTTTATAGGCAATAGAAACCACTGAAGAATTTTATTACAGGGAGAGATCAAGTCTCATTGGCAATTTAGAAAGTGAACCAAGGGAAGGAGAACAAAACTCGAGGCAAGAAGACCGGTCAGGAGGCTGTTAGCAAAAATCAGACAAGAGATGATGAGGGTCTGAGCTAATGAAATGGCTCTCAGCAGAGAGGAGGGACTGTACAGTGGTGACTATGTTTCACCTGAGAGACAGGGCCAGAGCTTCGGATGGTCTTCAGGCCTCCCACATGGGTGTCTGCCATCACAGGGCATAGCCAGAATACAGAGAGGGAAAAGCATGGGCTCCAAGATGGGGCGATTGAGAAATATAGGGAAGTTACATTAGACAGCTGGAGATTCATTTCTGAATGGAGGAGAGTGCTCGAGGCTGGAGCAGCATGAATACCTGGGCCTCACTGAAGCTGTGGAAGTGGGTGACATCTCTCAAGGAAGGGAAGTAGACTGAGGAGAGGGCTGAGAATCAGATTTTGGAAGCACCAATATTTAGATGATAGTAAAAGAAGGGACTAACAGAGACTGAAGATAAACACTCAGGAAGATAAGAGAGGGTGAGGCCCAAGGAAGGACTGAACAGTGCTTCTGGATTTGTCTATTAGAGCTCTGGTGCCCTTGGCAAAAGCAGGTCCAGAGGATCCATCCACATACAGCCCACCAGAGGAGTAAGGAGAGAGGGGGACTTTGTGAGGAGAGATGGTAGCCTTTGAATTCCCTTTCATACAAGGATCTCACTTCCTTGCAAGTCATTCCAGAGTACTGTTAAGAGTTCCAAGTGTTGCAAAGTCTTCCTTACAAAGCCAGAATCTCTCTCCAGTATCCTCCGTCAGTTCTAGTTCATGCCTTTTTGGTTTACACCAAACAAATCTATAGACTTCTACACAAATACACACACAGAGAGAACACGATTGCTTTATAGTCAGTCTCAACTCATGATAACTGCATGAGTTACAGATTAGAAGTGTTCTATGAGGTTTTCGTGGCTATAATTTTTGCAGAAACAGATTGCCAGGCCTTTCTGCTGTGGTGCCTCTGGATGAGTTCAAACTGCATGCCTTTAGGTTAGCAGTCTACCACAACCATTTGCACTACTTAGAGACTCTTCCACAGATTGTCCAAATATGCATCTCCAGTGGCTCATCTCCCCCGACCCTCCAACCATTCCTCACATACTCAGGCTCCTCCTCATACTCTGAGGTTTGACACCCAAGATGATCCTATTTTGTTTAAACTGGACCTGTTCTTTGGTCTTATTTCTCCTCCCTTCGTGTGGTTGGCTTTCCACCCTTATTTTTTTAACTTCCCCCCAGTATAAGAAATACATTTTTGCATTGATTCGTGTATATGCACATACATGAAAGAAAAGCCTCATGAAACAGTCCTTAACCTTATTGCAGGAGATTCCATTCAATCATATTTTATGTTTTTAAATGCTGGTCCTCACTCACTACATTCATTTTACAACCCAATAAACTGACCTCAGGTAGCGTAGTGGTTACGAATCGGGCTGCTAATCTCACAGTCAGCAATTCAAAACTACTAGCTCTTCCGTGGGAGAAAGATGAGGCCTTCTACTCCCGTAAAGATTTACAACCTCAGAAACCCTGTACAAGGGTCACTATGAGTCGGAACTGACTCCACAGCACATAACAACAACAACAACAACAGTGCAAAATAATGCACCATGCTAAGAGACTCTTAAGGAAGAAAAGGCAAAGTGTTTTTCGGAACTCATCCACCTTTCTTCCCCCACGTTCTTCTGCAATCAGGCCAGCATGCCTTCATCTAACCTCCTTTTTATTTATGGTTAAGAAGATAACTGATTCATTCACTAGGATATTAGCCAGCCTCGAGGTGTATATTTTTAAAGTGACTCACTAGAAGAAGATAAGCAGTCATAATGGTATAATTTAGAAACCACCTAACATAATTACCCCAAAGGCCACTGTCCTTCTGCTTACTCATGAGACCTCTGCCTGCCCGAAACGTGTCCATTCTAAGACGATGCCTTTATTGTTGCTGTTGGCTGCCATCAAGTCTGTGCCAACTTATAGTGATCCGTGTAGGAGAGAGTAGAGCTACCCCATAGGACTTTCTAGGCTAAACTTTGTGGAGTCCTGGCATGGCAATATAAGCGCTGGACTACAAACCTACCAGCCACACCTCGGAAACTACACAGGGTTGCTATGAATTAGAACCGACTTGATGGCACTTTAGCAACAACAATTTTATGGCCACACAACACCAAGTCTGTCTCCTGTGGAGCCACTGGATGGTTTCAAAGTGCCAACCTTTGAGTTAGCAGCCAAATGCTTAACCATGTAGCCATTTGCACCACCAAACCACTGCCATTGAATCAATTCCAATTCACACCAATCTTGTATAGGGTTTCTGAGGTTGTCAATCTTTTGGGGAGCAAAAAGTCTCATCTTTCTCCTGTGGAGTGACTGGTAGGTTTGAGCTGCCAACCTTGTGGTTTAAAGTACTTAGGCCACAGCGCCACCTGGGCTCCTTTTGGTGCTGCCAGGACTCCTGTATTCCAAACTGTCTGTCTGCTTTCAGAGCCTCCGTCAGACAAGGGGGAGAGCCCTCCCTTGGGAAACATTGCCCCTTGTCTATAGGTCTTCCTATGGGCTTTTTTTTTTTTTAACTAGAAGAAAAAGATAATCCACATATTTTAGCACAGACTCTTTGGAAGAAAGATCTGGTAATTGACTTCCCAGAGGTCACATGGAAGTCCCTCTGGAGCACAGTTGGTCTCTGACACATACAGGGTCCCTGTGAGTCGGAGTCAACTAGACAGCAACTGATTTGTCTAAAGACTCTCATTCTCACTCACCATGCCTTTTCTGCTTCTACCCAGGAAGGACCAGGATTCCTGAATTTACCTTGACTGAAGACAGAAGTACTGCACAGGTCAATCCTCTGAGAGGAGTCGCTGCTGCTGTAGACACTTGAGTCCTCTGAGAAGTCTCCAGAAGTGCTAGTCACTTGTGTACCTGCAATGAGCGAGGCCCTGGGCTGGACCTCAGTTTCACCTTGGTGAACAAAACTCCATTCCTGGCCTCAGGACACCCACACGCAGTGTAAAGATGAGTGGAGAACGGTGGGTCTCCCTCACTCCAGAAGAATTTGACCAACTCCAGAAATACTCTGAATGTGAGTAAATAGATTGATCTCCCTGAGGTGGGGGTTTTCTCTTGTAGGAAAAATCATTTTCTAGTGGACTGAGCGGTGTAATCATCACAAAGTCACAAAGAATAAGGTCAAGCTGGACAATATATATTGCTTTATAAATATTGAGTTATTGTCTCTAAACATAAAAACATAGTGATTTTTAGGTTCTGTAAGTAATACATGCTGTGGTACTGTGGGCTAATGCGCTAGATTGCAAAGTCAGTTTGAACCACAAGGTTAGCGGTTCAAGTTCACCAGCTGTTCCTATACAGTGTCGCTGTGTGTCGGAACCGACTCAGTGGTTACCAACAATAACAACCATGGAAATTTGGAACATAGAAGGGGGAAAAAAAGAGTGGGCTAAAACTTGCAGATAAATTCTACTAACATTTTGGAGCAGTCCCCTCATACATATTGCATTACATGATTGAGTTTACACTGAACATACTATTTTTAAAGTCTATATTTTCCACTTGACATAATATCATAGGTCATTAAAAACTCTTCATAGCTAGTAATAATAATAATAACTCTTCATAGCTACACCACACTGTATTGTTGTGGAGTTACTCAATCATTTAATAGACTTTTGTGCTTGGGTCCAGTGATTTCTTTCAGTAAAATACTGGATTCTTATGTCTGTCTGTTTCTTGATTTTATTCTGGAAAGGCCTGCACTTTCACTTGTGGCTCTTTATTTCCTGTTAGTTATCCCCAGGAACCATATCACAGTCGCATGCAGGCACTCAGCCGTACCCCCATGTTATCATTGATAGCAGCCTTCAAGTCAGCTCCCGACTCACAAAGCTCTCCTGCACAGTAGATTAAAAAGGTTGCTGTTTGTATGCCATCCCCATGATCGGTTGTGGATCAGATCACTGTGAACCATAGAGCTTTCATCGACTGAGTTTTAGAAACCTTTTGTCCCTTGACCATCTTAGTCTGAAAAGCTCACTGAAACCTGTTTAATATCATAGCAACATGCAAGCCTCCACCAATAGAAAGGTGTTGACTGCACTTAAGTCACATTTAATGGGAATTGGAAGGCAAGAATTCTACCACTATACCACTACCAAGCCTCCCCTGACCCCAGCCCCTGGTCACCTTAATCATAACTAGTGACAGCAATTTGCCCCAACTATAGCAGAATGTCCGCTGCCCGCTGCAGTTGGCCCACACGTAATGACCACTATTGGTTGTGCAATGGTACCGGCTTATCTTGCACAGCTCGCAGCTTCGCTGCCTTCTCCATCCATTGTTCCAATCAGAGTCACCGTTCATGTTAGTCACAGGATGCCTTCATAAATCACTAAGCCTGAATGAAGCATGTCCATCTGACCTACAAAACTTGCACTGATGGCCCTGCCACAGGGCGGGCAGCTTTCATGCACAGTACTGGCCTGTGAATTGGGTGATTGGCTTGTATGCCAGCCCTGGCTCTTGCTCTCTGCAATGTGACAGTCCTAACATCCCTGAGCCTCAGTGTCCTCTTGTGTAAAATGAGAAAATTGGACTAGGTAATCTCTCCAAGATGGTCCCTTCCTGGTCTAGCATCCCATGTTTCCACATGCACCCCAAAACCAACAGGAGCCCTTAAGATTACGGGTCAGTTACCCACATGGGACCCTGGGGCTCAAGGTCTTTTGTCTAACCTCTGTGGATTTAAAGTAACTCTGTAAAATGCATTGACAGGGAGCAAGGAATCTCCTTCCAGGGTAAATTCAATTTAACTCACAATGCTCTGTAGGTCAGCAAAGTACCAGGCCCTGTCAAGGATGAAAATGAAGCAGAAAGAAAAAGCCCTGCCTCAAAGAATCAGAATCTTGTTAGGCTTCAGAAATGTGCTTGTGACACAAGTAGAGGCCAGCTTTAAGGCAGCAGGCAAATGCCTGCTGGTAGAGTTGGCACAACCCAACACATAAATGAGAAGGGAATTTTAAATCAGAGGAGGTAGGTATAGCTGGGCAAACTTTATAAAGGAAAGAGGTATGAAATTTGGGTAGTAGCTGGTAGAGAGAGAGAAAACAGTGGAAGTCCAAGGAGAGGGCCAGAAAGGAAGAGAGTGTGTACAGGGTGGCGAGGAGAGCTTCTAGTTAAGAATAAAGAGGAAGACAGCGTGAGGGAGGGAGCGAGGCAGCAGGAGGCCTTGACTTGAGGCCTGGGTGTCAGCATGTGGTTTAGGACCATGGTGGCAAAAGCTGCATTTAGAGACATGAGTCTTCTGGTGATTGTGTCCAGGATGGCCTGGGTCAGGAAGCTGCTGAGCCAAGGATGTCAGACAGTGTCCTTCAGCTGAAATCTAGTCTGAGCTGAGGAATAGACTAAGCTAGTGAGAGTGGTAGTGAATGAATACTGATTCTAGAGGGGGGGGGAGGGCGATCTGTGGCAGAAATATCATCAAAGAATATGGAACCAAAAGGAAGCCATTAAAAATACATCAAACCCCCAATTCTGTGGGCATTGACAATATTAGGGTGCAGGGATTGTAAGAATGGCTTTGGAATGTTGGTTTTGAGATGGAGATGACACACCCACTTATTAATTCATTTTCTTCTAGTCTCTGGAGGAACAGCAATGGATAATATACACTCTCCACCCTCAACACCAACAACCCTCAGAGCTCACAATGTGGTGGGGCAAGATGGACAGGATTCAAGTGAAAGTTGTTGTTGTTAAGTGTCGTCAAGTCAATTCTGACTCATAGCGGTATAGGGTTTCTGAGGAGCAGCTGGTGGGTTTGAACCGCCGACCTTGTGTTCACAGTCCACTGCTGAACCGACAACGCCACACCAGGAGTCTAAGAAGTGAGAAGCACAGAGAAGACCAGGTCTAGCCTAGTGGGATGTCTCCTGTTGTAAATGTTGTTTCTAGACTAGAAATGCTAAAACCCACTGTTGTAGAGTGTATCCCAACTCACAGCGACACCGTAGGACAGAGTCAGACCACTCCACAGGATTTCTGAGGCTGAAAATCTTAACAGAAGGAGACTATTTCTTTTTCTCTCTATTGTATTCAAAGCACCAACCTTTCTGTTAGCACCCCATGCTTAACCCACTATGCCACCAGGTCTGCTTTATAGAAACACTAGTATTGTTGTTGTAAAGTGCCATCAAGTCAGTTCTGACTCATAGCGACCTGTTTTAGGGTTTCCAAGGAGCAACTGGTGGGTTTGAACTACTGACCTTGTGGTTCACAGTCCAGTGCTGATCCTACAGAGCCATACCAGGAGTCCAGTATTTGTTTTATTTGTTAAGTGCCGTCAAGTCAGTTCTGACCCACAGCGACCCAGTATAGCATTTCCGAGGAGCAGGTGGTGAGCTTGAACCACCAACCTTGCCAACCAACTTTGCAGTTCTGCACATTAACCCACAGTGCCACATCAGGACTCCAGTATAGTAAGAGGGAAAAGGAGGTCTTTCAGGCAAGCAGAAGTGGCTCTGGCAAGGATATAGAAATGAGGCGCAGATCATGGGAGCCTCATGAACTACAAGCTGTTTATAGATTAGGAGCACATGGTACGAGAAGAGTTATGGGAAAGAACTGGGAAGATAAGAAGAATCCCATTGTAGATGGTTTAGCTTTCCAAGTTAGACATCCTGTGGGCAGCTGGAGGGAGGGCACATGGGGGGATGTGAGTGTGAATGAGGGATTAGGCTAGAGATCTGATTTAAGAATTATTGTGTGGAGACAGCAAGGGAAGAAAAAATAAGGATAGAGGTACTGCTCAGAGCAAGAATGTTTGGAGAGAATGGAGAATGGGACTTAAGGTATGCCCATAATTGGGGATCAGATGAGGAAATAGAATCAGTAAAAGACATAGTGAGACAAGGGGCAACTAGGGAAATAAGAGTTACAGGGTCAAGGGATCTAAAGAAAGGAGGTATTCCGGATGTGGGAAAGCTATTGGGAGGCTGCAGGTTGAAAAGAAAGTAGTAGGAAGGGGTTGCTTTGTTCTTCAGCCATCCTATTTGTCCTTCTCTGACCCTTCTTCATGTTGGCCATGCCCCAGACTAGGCCAGGTTCTCTGGCACTATTTTTCTAACAGGAGGGGGAGAAAACATGCAATTCTTAGAAAATGATTACCACATTTTTACAAATAGCATGCCCACATAAATAATGTGCACACACATATAATGCATGGAAATGAGGAAATCCTGTAAAAAAAAAAGTTCTGGTGTAGCGCACCCATGCATAAATGACGCCTGTCTTGTGACATTTCCACAAGTGAGTTTCCACTTCATTCAACCCCATAGTTTGAAAATTTTACTTTTATCATATTTGTAAAATAATGCTATTATACAAATATGATAAGAGTGGTCAAGAAGTCATGGATTGAGTTTTGTTGTGGTTAAGTGGAGTCGCTTCTGACTCATAGTGACCCTGTATAGGGTTTCTAAGAAGCATCTGGTAGATTTGAACTGCCAACCTTGTGGTTCTCAGTCCCATGCTGATCCTATAGCACCACATTGTACATTTGTTTCTATTCATTTATATTGGTTATTGTATCCCTCTCATTTTTTATTAATTAGAAGTTTGAATCTACTGAAGCCTGTCCATACTATAACTTAGAAACTTAAACAGAGTGAAGCTAGCACAATGGCATTGATTGTTGTTGTTAAGTACCTTGGAGTTGGTTCCAACTCATAGTGACCCTGCACAGGGTTTCTGAGGCTGGAAATCTTTACGGGAGCAGAATGCTTCATCTTTCTCCCATGGAACCTCTGATAGTTTTGAACTGCTGACCTTGAGGTTGGCAGCCCGACTCGTAACCACTACACTACCAGAGCTCCTTATGGTACTGATAGCTATCCATTATTGTTGTTGTTAGGTTGTTGTTGCCATCCATTGAGTCAATTCAGAGTGATCTTGTATAGGGTTTCCAAGGAGCAGCTGGTGAGTTTAAACGGCTGACCTATTGGTTCGAAGTTCAGTGCTGATCAATAGGGATCTCAGTTTGATCTGTGCTAGCATAATTATTACAGT